TTCTCTAAAACTGCCAGGAATAATGTATATATGACGAAATCATGATTCAAAGCGTATTTTTATCCTGTAAGTAAATGCTCTACATCAAGTATGTTTACAGTCATTCCAATAAAATATAAAAAAAAACACACACACAAAAAGACCAAAACAAACACAAAAAAACACAAGAAACGGAGGTAAGAAAAATAACTCTTGAACTGAAAAACACGATCAAAACCAACGTTATATAACCAAATTTTTGTGCAAATGATAAGCGTACTATGCTTCATAATGATTTACACACTTATTGTCTGATAAAATATGCTTAAACGCGCCGTGATTAAGCACAAAAACACACTGGCAGTAACAAAAGTTATCATAAGAACTTCAGGACATATTTTGAGTTATCGCAAGAACTCCGTAACATTTGAAAAATCGGGTATAAATTTATTAGCCCGGGCTTTATGTTTGCAACTCTCCATAATAATTAGGTAATTAAGTATAGCAACGAAGAAGTTCACAAATGAAAAGGTCAATATGTACGAATTAGCAAGTAATTTGGTAATTTTTCTCAAAACTTGCAGATTTTTTAAAAAAAGGCGACAAAATATGGACTAAAATATTTTTTCTGAAACAAAATACAATATGTAGGGCAAGCTTTATTATCAAAGTTTAATTTAGCCCCTCAAACTCCCCATTTAAAGTTAAAAATAACCATTTTTTAGGCGAGTTCTCCAAGTATATAGAAAAGATTTCCACAGAAATCCGTAACGTTTTCCAGGAACTCCGTGACAGTTATCATAAGAACTCCAAACAAGTTATCATAAGAACTCCATCCTTCGTGTAACACTTCCTCCCCCGTGATGTTTATTGATCAGGTGGAAGGTTTGCTTACTCGGGAAGAAGAAGAAGAAGAAGAAGAGACTGAATGCGTTTTAGCAGGAAAGGTATTTGCACACTTTGACGATAGATTTGAAGCAACTATCCACAAAAATACATCACCAATATTGAAACGACAACGATTTTCTAGTGTCTTTGTAAAAATCGAAGGAGAAAAATGAAATAGTTGGAAGGTTGAATACTAATGTAGATCTAAAAACAAGCAACAACTTACAGTTATTGGACTTTATGAAAAGCGAGATATTGGGTGAAATATTGACAAAATAATGATATTAAAATGAAGAATGAAAACGCCCGAATCCGTCCGTCAAATGATCACGATGTAAACAGGTCAAATGCAATAAATTATAATGGGTGTGAAATCATGTATTTTCCCGCGTTTGAGCGAACGAATTAGCGGGAAAATATTTTCTCCTCATTGGTTTAGAACGGTAACAATTTATGTTACGGTTAGTTGAATCGACATGAGTTGATTTTATCTGAGGGCGGTCATTCTGAAGCGTTAGGACAGCACATGTACAACATATGAAGGCTAAGTTTTTAAATTTAATTAAATGGGTTGAATGATAAGAATGTTAGTATGTTCACACTGACTAAGATAATGGCTTATATATGAGGGTACAAATATTATGTGGTGTTGATAAAATTATTGTCTTGCCATACTTTTAATGTATTAAATAAGTTTGTTTGAATATTGAACAGGGCAGTATTGAATGAATCAGAACGGAGTTTGTTTTTTCTACTTAATATTGAATTGTATACTGTAATGTATTTGATAATTCATTCATGGATAAAGGATTGTGGGTAATGGAACTTTGAAATAGTGATATATGTTTATAAAGTGTACGAGACAGTAACAGTTTATTCAGGACAATCATTTTGTGGAGTTATGAAATGAGACATTAAGTGATGATGTTTTGAATGGATTAATTTTGAGGAGTAATGAAATAAGACATTAAGTGATGATGTTTTGAATGGATTTATGAATGAGTTGTATTAATTGTGCATACCTAAACGCTTGCAACAAATTAAATTATGTTGATTAGTTGGTTTTATGTTGTGATGTTCTATATTTGGTACAAAAATGGTACACATAGATATAATCTATATCTTTGTGTTTTTTATGCATTTTGGTCGTAGGGGTACGTTATGGGTAAAGTAGGGGAAATATGGTACAATAGTAAAATTGAAGTAAAACTGGAGCTAACAATGTATATGCACAGGTTTCATGTACAGACTCGATCAAACCGAGTCTGCTGTTTTCATGTAGTTTTGCTGTTTTTAATGCTTCCGAGGGATCACTTTTTTCGGATATTTATTATCGACAGACAAGTGAGTTGTATTGACGATCTACTTGAAAGAATAAAATTGATAAATCTTCAAAGCAACATTATTATTATAAGGTAGTCACTTCACAACTTACGGCATCACATATTATAATATATATTACGATGTAGCAACAGTTTTATTTAAACGCTTTGTAAAAAGTATGACTGTTGATGCTAAATGTTAAGGTATGTTTCATATTGCGAAGGGATAAGTAATATCGTTCAGTCAACAAAATAAAAAAAGTTGACACAATATTGGCCGTTATGGCGTTTTGCACCGGCATATCAATAAGCTTGAGTTACAGTCCTAAAAAAATATGTATCGTGAGGCGTATGCCGTAACACATTAAACACAAAGTTGACAGAAAAACAAAACATAAATTGAATGACTAGTTTGAATATAAATTTGCACTGCTTTGGATCCAGAATAGGTTTCTATATAAACGGCTGTTTGTAAATATAACCCGAGCCTCTAGGCGATGGTTATATTGCAAACAATCGTTTATATTCGGCCATATAACCTGTCAGGAAAATTTATAAAGAATTTATAATACTTCAAACTTCTTTTTTAGAGAAAAATATGAGATTTCTTTATAGATAAACAACAGCCGTGTATATAAAACTATATAAACATCATGATTATCCATTGAAAAGCGACGTTACAAACGTGCAGAATTTTTTTTTATAAATACACAATGACACCGTTGATGAAAGAATAGACCCGTATTCCACAGCGTTAGCCACGTGTTTTGTGCAAAGGATAATCTCAGTACAACAATGAACTCATTACATGTATTAATTAGAGAAAGTCGCAGACTATCTATTAGAGTCTGATCTAAACGAAAAGTGCAACATATCTCATTTCCATATCTAACGTTCAATGAAAAATACCGAAAGTATAGGTATCATGACAAAACAGATATTGACAGAGTAGACCAGTTGTTAGCAACAGTTTTTTTTTTAATTTTAGTTCGATTGTGTTGGAAGCAACACTCTCGAATCCGTTCCTGGAACCAACCAGTACTAAGCAATGAATGTAAAGTTTCTTGCTCAAGGAAACAACGGCTTGCCCCTGACAGGGTTTGAACCCACGCGGTCAGCAATCCTTAGTTTACTAGTCCGACGCGTTAACCACTTGGTCACGCCGCCACTCAGCAACAGTATACGCGACACTACATTTGTTATGCATCACGTCTTTATTGAATAATCACAAACTGCTTATCCTCATCAACATAACTAGGCCATATACGTAGTATATATGGGTATCAAATATTGCTATTAATAGTGCTCTATATAGTTTTGCATGCACGGATAATTGTGTTGAAATTTAACATGTAAGTAATGTTTCTCCCTTTATTACAATGAAACGAAACAAATGAATGTATTATATTTTTGTGATACTAATGCATTATATTTTTGTTATACACAAAATAACTGTTTGAAAGAGCGACTTCTTTTGAAACAAGTCTTGATTCAGTTGGATTAGCATGTATTTCGATTATTATTTGGAAATCGAAAGTTTTTTGGTTTTTATAAACTGTCGTGATGTAAATTCTATTTGTTTGACATAGCAGTAAATGCAACTAAGAAAAAAGCTTGATGGAAATGCATGCAGCATGCTTGTTTCAAAAATAGCTAAATGAAATAAAACAAGAAGTATCTTTCAAAAAGATACTCGGCTGAAGCGTTTCTTGTTAACATGCAAAATTATGTTATTTCAAAGTATTTAATATAACAAAATATAAAAAAATGCCAGCAATGCTTGCATAACAATGACATAATAATTATTTCTTGTGGCAAAGAAAATAACCATTTTGTTCATATTAAATTTAAGATATAGCATATTTTTTGATCATTTTTCAAAGTAAGACAACTTCTAATTAAAGGAAGACACGGGCAAAATTTTTATTTCTTAGTTTTGAATTCTTCATTCATTATTCTGTAAATGCTCTCATAATGAATATATAAGACAGTCAAAGGAACAAAACTTTTGTCCATATAAAGGTTAGAGCACTAGTATTTCACAAAAGTTGTCACAGTGAACTCTGTAAACGTTAAAGAACATGTCAAATGAATGACCTAGACTTGTTTCAATCATACAATATCCACAATATCTTTTATTGTCACTTCAATGGTTTGTTCAAGTCACCTGACTTGTTTTAAAACTATTCGGTGATTCTATAGGCGTCTAAATTTTGTTCAACATATATAGATATATTTACGCTTCAAACCAAGAATATATAGACTTTAAACAGAAATTCATGCTGAGACATGAAGAAATGTCATTTAAAAGTGGTTTGAGTACATAAGATCATTTTAATATTTTGTCATTATTTTTCCTGAATATCCCTTTAAGATGTCCCTTTTACTTGTTTTACGTTTGACTTTATAAATTTTGTTATTATTTACAAAATAACAGAAAAGTTAAAGTACTATTCTCATTTATTTTAGTACTACCCTTTGTATTTCATTTTATAGTGGCAAAACTATCCCTTACATTTTATCTTAGAGCTAACCTTAAAATTTTGTTTTTAAAATGGTAAGAACTATCTTTTACATTTTATTTGGTTTAGAATGGTTAGAACTGTCCTTTACATTTTATTTTAGATTGACCAATTAGATTTACCGATTTTAGTTTGTAATTTTTCAAATACCCAATGAAAATTCTTCTTATATTCAGTCCTTCCCTATAATTATACAGGAAGTCAAACTGATAACAGACGGACTTCGTACGAAAAATACGATGTGTTTCGCAATTTTTTAACAATATTTATTTTTATTCAAATTTATGAATTTCCTTATACATAAAGTTCAAACGTTAATTAAATACATTTTAATAGTTTTACAAATCACAAAATGTCATAAAAATGGCTGCTGGATAAAATAACCCTAGATCAATTTTTGTGTTTGCTCAATCCTTACCTATATTTAGTACCGCAGTGTTTCTTTCCTTTCGAAATAATCTTACAAATACATGTACAGCATCTAAAAGATCGATTATAAGCAATAAATGCTGCAAAACATAGGTGAAACTAGACTTATATATCATAAGTGGAGCTAGTGTCATGTGAAACTATTGCTATTACTGTATGATACATTGGTGTAATTATTGTCAGTAAAGATCAAAGATAAATAAGACAGCGGTGAAGCGATTGACATTTAAGATAAGGCGATGGCCATTTGTAGTAAAAGAAGGGATTGGTCGTTTTTTTTTTGTTTTGTTTTTCGGCAGAATAAAAACCTTGAGTATTATTACGACTATTTTCAGTGGGAATAAGACGGAGCTGTAAAATTGTTCTGCTGTATTCCAAAAGATGTAGGCTGCTGCTGGCTCATTCCGAAATTGCCTTGTGATACCGGATTAGAAGACGGGTTTGACGTTGCGAGTCCTCCAGTATTGAAAGGTGGCTGTCCGCCATTCAGTTGACCAAAAGCTGTTTGGCCTTGAAAAAAATGGTTTCCATCGACCGTTGACGGGTAAGTTTGCATCATTCTTTGGTTATATTCCTCGCACTGGCAACATATCCCCGATGATGTGAGGGATATAATTGTTGCAACTAAAAGTAAACAGATCCCCGTCAAAATACACACAGCTAGAATAAAATGGATCTTTTTCTCCCCCTCAATATTTACAAGATATACTACATCCATCATGATTCCAGATACTGCAGGGAGGAATACAATGTATCCCAAAATCATGTTTGTAGTCACCTGAAATAGACCAGAAACGACAATCTGTATTGTTTTGGAATGGCAAAAAAATGTTTAAAATATTATAATAATGAAAATAAAAATAGTTCATAATAAGTATTAGAAACAAAAATAAATTATAATGACTTACTTGACAACGTACTTCTTTTTGAAGAACGATAACATCTTCGCCGTCGTACAACAAAGCTTTATACGTGGTGTAAATGCCAAAAGCACCTGCTACTGCACCCTTGAAGCAAAAAAAAATGATAAAATGTGTCAAATGTATCATTTAAAATTTTAAATAATTTCAACTAGAAATGATGACGGCTGTGACAAAACTGTAGAAGGGATAAGAAACAAATACCTTGACATTACTGCTGTAACGATGTTTTTAAAGGCTTAAGTTCGCTTTGTAAACAGTTTGTATATCCAATTTTACACCATAGGAACAAATAATCAATGAAGAAATCTATTTCAATTCTAATGCCTTATTCTAATGAATGTAATTAATACTGTTTAAATTGTTTCCTCGCAAAAACAAATTGTAAAAAGAAGACCGTTACTCTATACATTATTGTCCATAGATAATGGTTTGAATTGATTATATCCCATCAGTTAAATAAACTTTATTTGTCATTTCTTCATCAATATATTCCTATCATATTCCTATGGTGTTAGATTTTAACGAATTGTAAATTATGAGTTTGTGAAACTGTAAACTAAATAACATTGAATACCGGCGTCAATGATAACAGATTGCTTTAGCGACGAGAGAAATCTAATATTATACTGATTACTACAGGTAAGTTATAACATTGGTTGGCATATTTACATTACACAAAATATGACCACTTCAATGGTATCAACTTACTATCCATTAACTGGGGATAAAGTGCGGTAATTCTGGACTAGTTTCACCATTTCATAAAATACATTGTATTTTGAGCTGGTTAACAATGGCAGTATCGGGAAATTGCGCAAAGTATTGTTTTTATTCAAAATATCTCAAGTTTGAAATAAATTCAAATATTTCGCATGATACACAAATTATAATCATTAAGGGTCACGCATGCAAAATATCCACCATGTGTGTCTTTTTTTGCATCCAAAAAGAAAATTATGCCATGGCAGGCAGAAATGTATTTTCGAAGCTGCCACAATAATGGCAGAAACATGACAGAAAATCAAGATCACTCTCGGAAGGGTGATACCAATTAGTGTCATAGATTATTGTAAAACAGTCACACTTTGTATATCAAAAGCATTTACACAATACTTTTATTTAATATACCATATAACATGACATAGTTTGTATTTTTAGGATAATGTTTTTGCAAGGTTTTTATATTACAAGACTAGAACATATTTATGTTCAACACTTATTCATATTCATTTTGGTACCTGAGTCTGAATAAAAACAACAAAAAAACTTCAAAGTTGTAAAATAAAATTGTAATATATAAACATGGCAAAACAATATATGAAAACATTTTATCAATGCGTGGAACCGAAGTAGCAATATATTAATTGATTATCACAACACATGGCTTTCCAAAGAATGACCTGGATTTTCTGTCATTATATGTTAGCCACTTTCAGAGCGTTTCTGTTATTATCAGCAGCTTCGACAATAGGTTTCTACCTACAACGACAGCATTTTCACTTCTACTCGGGCTAGTTTGGAAGTCTGTAACATTCTAAAGAAAAAATTGAGGTATTTTAAACAAAAAATAAAAAATAAATTAATAAATAAAAACATACATACAAACAAACAAACCTTTCATTAATCAGCTCAAAATATTTTCTGAAAAGGTGAATCGAATTCAAATTTACAATATAGTTGATCTACTCAATGGACAGTAAGTCAATGGAATTTGTCCTTTTTGTGTAATATAAATATACCAACTAAGTATATCACCTAACTGTAGTAATCAGAAAATTTTAGATTTCTGATACCACTGCAGCGATATGTCAACACTGGCGCCGGTAATAATTAAAGTGTTCGTGTCGGGTAAGTAATACCGACATTGTAATGGTCTCAGCTTAACTGGTGTAGGAAGATCTCAGCGTCCCTCAATGAAAATTTCATGCTCGAGCTGGCAGCTGAGTAGAACCACCAACTAAGCTATCTGGATTGCTTCAACACATTATAGAATCCAAAGTGCTTTGCGGGATTCGAATTCCCTGTCGTTTAAATTGATATTCTGTATTTTCTTAGTAATCAGGTGAAAAAAAATCGATATTATAAGAGACAAAGTTATATTACGTATTGCATTCCTTATGAACAACTTCAATAATGTTTCTTCAAAGTTTCAATCTAATGCGTCAAAATTTTTCAGATATATTTATGGAAATTATCATATGTGGAAAATATTGGCTCAACTAAATTATAAAAACAAAGGTCAGAGATACGGAACAAGGCATGTGAACTGGTCTTTTCGGTGAAATATAAATTTTCTATTTAGCATACTTTATATTTTTACAATTCTTTATTCAAATATTTGTTGCCAAAGCAACAATATTTTTCAACATAGGGCAATAAACGAAAGTGAATTATTTCCTATCTGTCCAAGTTAATGTTCAAGTACTTTTTGAATAATCACAGGACTCATTTTTCGTGGTCGTGCGGGCGGACGAACAGACGGACGCAACGAGGTCAAACCGGTAGATGAGGATTAATTACAATTTACTTACCACAATACCACATGTATATCCCCCAACAAAGTATGCTGTAAAAATATCTTTTATTTCTGCATGTTTTGAAGTGGCAACAATGGCACACACTACCAGTCCTACCCCAAAAAACAGTTGAGCTCCTGAACTGTACTTCAGTCTTTCTATACCACCCTTCCGCTTTGACTTTTCTGCCATTTACAAAACAAACAAGTACAGTATATTAATTACTCATTTTTTGTTCATAAGTAGTTTATATACGGGACATTGCTGTATTATAAAATGTTGAAACGAATAATTTTATATGTGTCCCTCGTGTAACTTGTACGCGCGATTCTTTTCTGTTTGAAAAAGTGTACATTGAACATTGAATTCCTTTTAAGGAATGTATTCCGAAAATGGATTATTCGGTAATTGTATCTTATATAAAGCTGACATTCATGTAAAATTTGTATACATTTTTACACCTTTCGTGTCAGCTAAGTAAACCAAAATAATCCGGGTACATCTGTACTTAAAATATCAAGTGACGTTGGGTGGCTGTCTACCCCAGTTTTGTGTATTAGGCGGGTATGTTGCACAATCTCAATCACAATCAATTGTACTGATCTGTACAGAAGTATTATATTCCAACGCTAATTAATCATAAATTTTCAATCGACTGTAATTCAACACATGTTAATATCTTTATAAATCTTTAAACACCGGCAGAAGAATTAATAATAATAATAATAATAATAATAATAATAATAATAATTACTTAAAACTTACCAGGAGAAAACATGGTTTTCCAGTTACATATCTAAATCCAAATGACAATGGATACAGAAGGAAAACAATGCTATCGATTAATCATTCCGTCATTATTTCTGAACTTAAACATTTGATACCAGGTAAATACATTCTTTCACAATACCATAATACAATAATAGTCTGCTGATCAATATTTCGTCATATCAGGCGGTTGTTAGTTGGCAAATATTTCAAACTACAAAATGTTAAACACAGGTATCTTGGTAAATAACAATATAGAAATATACTTTATATATGTTTCCGGTCTGCTGGTAATGTGCAACACAGAAGACCGTGACAGATATACAGTATACTGACCCAGATTGTATTGTATTGTAGTTTGAACCATACTTGCAGTAAGAATTTACAAAGTTTACAAATTTACAAAAAATGGTTAAGAAAGGTGCAGCCGTTTGGTCAACACTTACTAATCATTAGTAATAAACATTGCGCCGCGCCTGACCAATTAAATTTGGTAAATACGTACTAATTTTAAACTTTATGTTTAACTTTATGTCGGATGAACACATCTGAGGATGTTTCTAAATTCAAATTTTCGCCATTTACATGATTAAATGTTGAATTCTGCTTAAGCCGGTGCTAGGGGGTGTGGAGGGTAACTTGCACCATTGACTGGCTCAATGAAACCGAGCCTACAACATTTTCAATTTTGTCTTTTTGGGCTTTCTTTAGGGATTCTTTATTTCTCTCTATTTTATCGCCACATCAGCGTTGTTAGTGCAGTGTGGAGGCTGTAAAACGTCGCTCCGTACATTCAATCAGGGACGATTTATTTTCGATTCTTCAAGATCGTTCAGAACGACATTATTGTTGTGTTTGTGGTACTTTCAGTTTTTACTTTTTGGCATTTTTCTTGGTTGGTGGTTCCAAAAGTCCTACTTGAATAATGTTGAATCACCCTTAGGATATGTTGCCTACTTTTAAAAATTTTCTTTTGACGTCATATCTGTGATATGCAGGCTTCATAACCTCTGATCCCCTTTCAAAATTCCATTTTATTTAGTTCCGTCCATTGTTTTCTCGTTGAGGGCACATGCATTCTTTTACATGGGGACCATAGGCCTCTTTTTATGGAATGGCACAAAGTGTCACATTGAAGGTTCCATGATAACCGCACAATCTCAATCACAATCAATTTACTGATAAATTCTCCATCTTTATAAATCTTAAAACACCGACGGAAGAATTATTATAAATAATAATAAAAATAATAATAATAATAATAATAATAATAATAATAATAATAATAAATACTTATAACTTACCAGGAGAAAACATGGCTTTTCAGTTACATATCTACTTTAAATCCAAATGACTTTGGATACAGAAGAAAAACAATGCAATCGATTAAACATTCCGTCTTTATTTCTGAACTTAAACATTTACCACGTAAATATATTCTTTCACAAAACCATAATACAATAAAAGTCTGCTGATCAATATTTCGTCATATTAGGCGGTTGTTAGTTGGCAAATAGTTCAAACTACAAAATTTATACTACACAGGTATTTGGGTCATTAACAATATAGAAATATACTTTATATCTGTTCCGGTCTGCTTGAAATGTGCAACACAGCAGACCGTGACAGATATAAAGTATATTTCTAAATGTTACTGACCCAGATTGTATTGTATTGTACTGTAGTTTGAACCATACTTGCAGTAAGCATTTAAAAAAAATACAAATTTACAAAAATTGGTTAAGAAAGGTGCAGCCGTTTGATCAACACTTACTAATCATTAGTAATAAACACTGCGCCGCGCCAGACCAATTAAAATTTTGTAAATACGTATTAACAAACTTTAACCTATACTCAAAACACTAAGAACTGATTAAAAAAACTAATCGTTACAATTTCTTACCGAAATGGTAGTGTAAGACATATAAATGTAATATGGATAATATGACCAAAAAAAAGAAGAAATATAACTAAATTTCTACTATATATATATATATATTCCTAAGTTCCTATGTGTGTTTTTATTTTATAAAACAAAAAAGTTGGGTTCTACACTTTGGTTTGCAATTGCATCATATCAAGTGTCATTCAAATCACAAAGAATTTCAAACCAAAAGTAATTTGATAAGTTATTGTTTATAACTATACATTGATCTAATCTAATCTAATCTAATCAAATTACTGAATAATTTGACTTTCGAATTATCAAAAATACTCCAAATATTCTTATAGTGATATAAACAATTATTTTACATTGTATTTATGAAATACGTATTTGATAAAAACAGAACAGAGCAGAATTTTATGTATTTAAAGCGCCTTTACATTTAAGATAGGTCGATTAGAATGTACGTACCTGCATGTCAACATGAATTTTTTAATTAACTTAAACTAATAAATACAATTTGCATTAATGTTCCACTAAACGTATGTCTTGTATACATAATTTAGTTTAAATGTATTAAGGATTTTTTCTTTTTGAAGTTAGAGCAAAACCATAATGCATATATGTATATAAACAAACTTTCTATATCCATAATTGATCAAGACTATAAATTATGTTTATTAATATGTAAATAGATATTTTGTGAATATTCTTCTTCCGCGAATATTATGATCGATGTCATTCAACAGCAATGAGGAATTATTTCCAATTTTGCTACATTACGACAGTTGTTCAATATATTATGCAGTAAGAAGTATTTTTTCTAATGTAGCTCGTGATTCTTGTGTTTGTGTAAACTATGGTCTGCTTTAAAGCATCTGCTTTCAAATGATACCAAAATCATGTGTGTAGTCAGCATATCAAGAATGTTAATCACATTTAAATACACCTTATACGAGTAACTTAATGCAAAATATAACTGTTAAACGCTCGGTTAAAAGTGCTGAAATACGGGATTAAATAAAAGCTCGAGTAAAACTTGGAAAGTCTGCTATGAATATTGAAAGTGGTATTTGTATTACTTATGGCATCAATAAAGTTTCTTGTGCAACTGTTTTATGGTGAATAATTGTCACGAGTCAATTAAAGATGCCTGCGATTCTGGAAAACTGACAAAAACAATCATAAAGTCAGCTTGTCTGTCAGATGGATACGATATTTGCTGATATCTGACCAGAAAAAAAGACCGAGTTAAATGCGCTCAAAAATTGCTAAAGCTTGTTTTCTTAATATGACGGTCACCGTATTTCGAATATTGTGACAAGTTTGGAAGATGGTTTCACTATTTTATGCCAATTCGCAAGTGTAATAATAAGAATTGGGCACCAAATATTGCCGTCGACCATGTATTGCCAAGCGATTGAAATGATAGCTTTTTAATTCTTCCGGACGTGTCTTTGCATTTTGTTTCATTTACTGTTGCGTCTGTTATATCTAAAACTCCTTCTACTGTTCCATTTCTATATGTCCATGGTCCTTCGGTATCATTGATACCTGCACTATTAAGTTTTGAGAATTAAGTACCGCTCAAGCCGGTGCTGGAGGGTGTGAGGGATGTTGTACGTACTCATTATCCCTCATGTACAGACTCAATCAAACCGAGTCTGCAATTCTCTTGTAATTATGATGTGATTAATGCTTCCGAGGGATCACTTTGTTTCCAGATTTTTTCCATATCCTTCACATAACGGTTTAGGGTCATCTACCAATGTTTTAGACGTTTCCTCCATATGTATCAATTTTTCATCTCTTTCAAGCGGGTTAACTCTTATTTTATATGCTTCACTAACGTTTTTCCTATTACATCTTCTGAGAAGTCGCATTTGACTCTTGATTCATTCTGTTTTTCTCATGTTTTTTTTCTATTTTCACGTAAGTCTTACACACCTCTCTATGCTTTTATCTTCATTATCTGTATCGAATAAAATTTATGATTTTCCTTTACCAAGTCTTGCTACGTTTTTACCTATAAAAGTGCCAATTTCATAATATATGAAAATAAGCTTGATGTTTTTTTTGTCTTCAATTTATAGTTGGCAGCTTACACATACCAGCACGACAATGTGATACGGTTCAATTTCAAAAATTAAAACAACACAACACATATATATATATACACTGATATTTATTCAACAATTTCAATAAATTCCGTTATGAACTTACACGAATTATATATTCTATTTATCACATGCCAAAAATAAAGACGGTTTAAAGCAAAAAAGTCATTTTTCGTCGAAGCCCCTATATATAATATAACACTTCTCTGTCGTTACCTCCCCTGTTCAGTAACGTAATGTAGAATCAACGGTCCAGAATGCAGGATCAAGAAGCTTTTAATATGACTTCACTCGGATTCAGAAAATGGTTCTTAGCGTGAAAACAACTAATTAATATAACTATGCAAATACAGTTGTATTGAAAAATTTGAAAGTGCTTTAAGTGCTGTGATTACTTAGTGCATTATAATCAATCCCTTCAACCCAGTACGCTATGAACAACTCTATCTGAACACTTGGTGAGTATATCAGTATAGAGTGGTATTGGCCAAATAAGTTAACCTTTCTTATGACTGTAAAGTTGTTACTGATGAGGATCTGTCTCGACTGTGTGGACAAATTTATTTGTTCACGTTAACTGTATCTTGCATTACTGCATGAGCATTTAGTAAAAAATGGTTGTTTCCATTGGAAATCCTCCTGTTACAAGTTCAGATTGCTATGAAACTATAAAAGATGTTTTAATAATGATCAAACTTGGCACAAATGCTGACTGGACCATAGCTTTTGTAACGGCATGCTCAATCTTAAAGTTCCTGTTTTCATGGTAATGAGGGAACATCTCAAATTTGCTAAAAAACACTTTTTTGCGTTAATTTTTCCATCAAAACTGATTTCCAAGTGCTGCAACTTCTCAATGGATTGGGATAGATTCAAAAGATTTTTTTCGGTACACATTACCTTAAGATCGACCTGAGGCCAATGTTAGGTGTTAAAGTAGTTTTTGTTTGGGGTAGATTTCATTTGTATAGTAAAATATGAAGAAGAAAAAACAAGACCATCAAGGAATGGCGGCGTTCAACGATCCAGCAACACAGGATCACCGGCAAGTATTGTGAATGATATTAATCTCCTCTCATGGTATGTTGTAACTTCGTATTTTAAAGATTTTTTACATTTTCATACTTTCTTACATCCTGACTCAAGGGTGGTTCATAAAATGATGAGTATATTTCTCAAATATCTGAAATATACTACACGTATATCACAATCACACCACAAACATTCTCACGTTTATCTTAAAGACTTTTTCACTAATATCTCACAATTATCTCAGATATAACTCACTATTATCTCACAAATAGTCTGACATTTTATCTCAAATATTTTCACTAATTTCTCGAAATATCTCGCGAAATTTTCATTACATAAAATATGGTAGTACTAATTTTCACTGAATTCTCAATGAAATATATTTTAACCAATTATTTTACACAATATTTTCAATAATAATATTTTTAAACAAAATATTCTCAATACAAATAGATAGTTCATTTTGGCCCAACGAATTTCACAAATAACAAGGCAATGTTGCACTACTAGAATGAGAAATTCTCGTTTATTCCGCACGAATATATCAACTTCATTCTCCTTTGAGAAATAAATATATACACACGTGGACAATTGGAGTGTTTAATTTGAATATATCACAGTCATTTACATGTAATGAAGTTCATGAGTTATGAAAAGCATATATCAAAAGATATAAACATATATAATATGTTTAATATATGAATTATTGTGTAATATATTTTTTTAAGTACAATCTTCAAAAAATTATATCCATATAAAATCATCATACAAATTTCATTTTATATAATAAAAGGATTGAAAAAAACATATGAAGTCATCCTTTTGCACAATTTCGAAAGTGCAAACTGTCAGTTCGTTGAATAATGTCAGTTCGTTAAATTGACTTCCGGAAAGGGACAATTAAAATCGACAAATAAGCCTAATGGCAATCTAAAGTCTGAACAGTGATGGTTTTTAAATAACTTCATTTTTCTGTTTTATATACTTATTATTCTAATTTAGTACTACTTACACCCATGTTAGTGCAGCTATGTTAAATTAACCTATTTTAAGCACGTTATTTCTTGTATAATCTGTTAGATTTTTTCATATTTAATCGGTCACAAAATCTTTCAAAAAATAGATATTTACAAAGAGGCATCTCAAAAATATCAAACTAGTTCCTTTACCAAAAATCATGTGATTTTACTTTTATGTAGTAATTCATAAAACATTCCCAATCAATTATAAACTAATGAACTAAATGAGTGTATTTATTTGAAATAAGTTGAAATCATGTGATTTTAATTTTCATGTAGTAATTCCAAAACATTTTCAACTTAAATAATAAAGCAATGAATTTAATGAATGTATTTGATTGAATAAAAATGAAACAACATAACGTCAAGCAACTTGATATCACAGACGACTTTTGGTACATGTACACATTTCGTATTGTAAACAAATACAGCAATACTACAGTAAATAATCACAGTTTTTTTTTTGTAAAAAATAAATACATAAAATAACTTGTAAAAGACGTGATGTATGTTCTTTAATTCAGACATGCATGCATTGTTTATGAAATGATTAAAGTGTGACCATTTGTGAAGTTTAATGAAACTTTCATAACGTGCGTGCCCCAATTATACGTATGTTAATAAAGAAGCAGTTGCCGTGTAATTGTATGTATGTTTAAACCGTGTAAATTAATGTATGTTTTTACCGTGTAATTTAATATATGTTTTAGCCGTGTAATTTAATGTATGTTTAACTTAACAGCATATAACACTGCGGTATACCGTACCCCGGATATTGCTCGATATTATGAGGACTTTCATCCCATTTCGCGACTTTGAACGAGGAAAGAAGGTAAGTTCAGTGGCGATATTTAGTCATTTTGAATTGGTTTGATATAAATTTTATAGAAAAATAAATACTTCGATAATTTCTCTAGTTACTGAAACCCCAAAAATGCTGAGAAATAGCTTTGAAATGTAATTATGAGGTAAAATTCGTCTCTTTGCTCACGTGATAAATGAGCTCGGATCAGCCAAATTTGATGTTTTTGTGCATATACCTTATTAACAGAAAAACTTGAATCGAGTGAAATGTGATAATGATGATAATGTTTATGTTGTAAATGTTCAATCAACAATAGACCTTCAGATGACAGTGCATTTTGAGAATAAATACACATGTCAGTGTACCGAGTATTGCGTTGGAGTTGCCCGCCGGTGTCACGAGTATTGCTTTTAGTGTAACGAGTATTGGTGATCAATATAGAGTAATGCAAGTAGTAAACATGTAGTATTTACTACATTTAATCTTATATATTTGTTATTGTGTATACTTATTTACACTATGTGTGCAGAATATGCAGAGTTCGGAGGTACTTTACTGGAAACATCTGCGAATAATCCTGCTCATGAAAAATCTCAGTCGAACGAACTCAGCAATTTTCTGTGTTTAAAAAGTTCTCGTTGCTATCGAAGGATCAACCTTTCCAGTATTTGTTAGTTATTATTGCATATCTTACTTTAAATAGTAACAAAATGCATCCGAAGTGAATTAATGCTGCCTCAAGATTGTAGACAGTATTGAGCAAATATCAACCGACTTCCTACTATGCCCAAAATACATATTAAGGTAACTTTCGGTCATTTTGCACCTACACTCTAGCAATGGCGGACTGTCTGCACGTGAATTTGTTACGTCATTAGCAATGAGTTACCATATGACTGCCGAGCGGGCACAGCTAAAAAAACGAATAATGCATTTTGACAAGATTATTATAAAGGGCAGCAGATGCAATAAAAAGTTTATGTTTCTTATAACCTTATACCTCATTAAGGCGTGTTTTGAAGGCTTTACATCCCATATCTTTTGAGGCCTCAAATAGTGTAAAACATGCGCTGTTTAGACCCTGTTTGAGAAATGTTGTTCAAAAGAGCTAGTGATCACTTTTTCGGCGCCACCCATTAAAAAGATTCATCAAGGGGTGCCACAGGGGGGGTGGGTGCCCCCTTCTCTGTTTGGGAATTTGAAGTTGGGCAGTAGCCCCTCTAATCGCCGAGAAGACTTTGGACTTGTGGGGGAGGGGGCTAAAATGGCATCAGGTCGATTTAAAGCTACCGTGTAATCAACGCCGAATACATTAGACTTTATCTCAATCAATTGAGAAGTTGCTGCACCTTGAAAACAACGCAAAATAGAGATTTTTGGCAATTTTGAGAGGTCCCCCGTTGCCACGTGGTAACTGGAAATTTAAGATTGAGCATGCTATTCTATTCCACAGGCTATGGTCCAGCCAACATTTGTCCAAGTTTGATTAGTATTGAAGCATTTTTGTTATAGTTTCATAACAGTTTGAACTTGTAACAATAGGCTTAATAAAATGAAAACAGACATTTTTCGCAATATGCTCATGCAGAAAAAGGTTAAGGTATCCGGCATGCTTGGACGGCATAAGCCCTCGGGCCAATATTTTACTAAGTGTGTCGATATGTTTCTTAAGGCAAACTTGCCCTGTAAAACCCTATTATTAATGGCATCTAAATATGCTTTTTTTATTCTTCTTCTTTTCAGAGATGGGTCTTCTTGATCATAGTTTCTTGGGACATGTATTTAAAGATTATTATCGTCAATTTTGATGGTTCTACCCTGCTCCCGACCCTGCACACACTTTATTTCATCCATAGTGTGATTTTCAATCAAATGGGAAACTAAATCTCTGTATTTGCCGTAGGAAAAGAACAGTAATAACACTGAAAATGCATTGTTAAATCTGAAATTTTTGAATAAATATCATATAAACAGTACATCATCAGCAAAATGATAAACAGACGTGAAAATTAGACAAAATATTGATTTTCCATACTAATGTGCTCATTCTGTTTTGCAATACACTGTACACTAAAGTTGGGATATTTTGCAATACTCTGTACACTTAAAATCAATACTCGGTACACTTTCTTGTTTCTTTTTTGGCCTGTATCTTTTTGTACTTTCACACTTTTTGCCTGAAATTTGGACAAAGCATACTTGGTTTGTGAATAAAAAAATTGCTCGATTCAATTTTTTTTATATTGGTAATATAATAATTTCTAATGATTCTACAGTATCGCGGTCACTATTTTCTAGTGAGCAGCGGTTCGTTTAGGGGTAGTTTAATCAAGTTTACAAATACCTGTAATACTTTTACGTCTTTTAGAGCTACAAAAATAACTCTAGATATATAAAACCCGTTGAGATAAATGAAATAGCCATTAGTTTAGAAAATATCTTCGCTGAACTTACCTTCGTTCCCCGTTCAAAGTCGCGAAATGGGATGAAAGTCCTCATAATATCGAGCAATATCCGGGGTACGGTATACCGCAGTGATATAACAATCAGAAATAATCAATCATTTTAAAACAATTGAAAAATATGTAAAGATTAGCCTTAACAATTATTTTATAGAAATGTATAAATCAAGAATAACGACTCTACATCAACCCTTGTCATGGTAAATTTAAACTGGTAAATTAACTATTTAATACAGACATCAACTATCCTGACCACAATGATTGCAAAGATAAACAACTCCTGGGATCGTCTAAATGTCTATAATAATAAAAATTAACACATGCGTCTTTTCATGATAATAAAGTTGTAATATGTATACATGTAGTTATTCTCATTTATGATGCAATGTTATGATTTTATGAGTACAACTAAAAATGTCAGGAGAAAATCATTAGTGAAAAATTTCTGTCAACTTTGAAGTGTTGTTTTGTTTTTTTCTCATGTCGCTCTGTTACTTAGCTTCTTGTTTCCTTAAATCGAATTCTTCGGTGATTCCGAAAGACTGAAAAAAGAAAGCAGAAGTTTACATCAACATCACAAATTAATGTTAAAATAATTGCATTATATGTAACATATGTAGTTATGATTGGTCGTACTATACTTTCTTCAATATTGTAGCAGATGTCATAACTTAATGTTATTCTGTTACGAAAGCAATATGTATCATATGTATCAATATTTTAAAATACAGTTTTATAAAGTTTACCACACCAAGTCAACAAAGATTTACAGTGAAATAATCAAATAATGTGTTTGCAATTTGTCTCAATGATAATAAATATAATATATCGTCACCTTAGAGCAATAACTGATTAACTGTTACTAGTATTCAAATTAGGAGTTAGTACGTTATTGCACTAAGGTGACGATATATGCTCTAAAAGCATTACAACATTTAAAAATTGTATGAATTGTATGTTTTTATTGCTAATTTCTGTGATGTTATTATGCCTTTATTTTACATCGTATATAGATTTATTTGTATATCATTTTCACATGCACATATCTACATATATTCCACGACGAGTATGTATAAACAATTTCTGTACTATAGTTATAATCTACTCATATACGTCCATGCAAGTTTCAAGTTAAACATTTCAGAAACTAGATCTATATTAATAACCACATTCATCTAATACAATACAGTATATACGAATGCAGTAAAGATCACACTATTCTAATGACTCCTATCTATATATTAAATATTCTGCAATGACCCTTGCTATTGACCTCTAACTAAAAGCTTTAATCCAAGCTATATATATTTATAACTAATTCATTGTCAATGGATATCATCAAGACAAACTAAAAATCAAAATTGTACACGTTGTCTAAGACGAATTTCCGTATCGTGATACACAGATATTACTGTCAAGTTATCGAATGATGGTAACACTTATGTATATCTTATAAGGCGCATCCCGTCATAAGTCTTTAGTCGACATTCTTACAATAATATTTATTAAGTCAAAATCAGAAAGACACGCTATGGGATTATCCACATTGACAGACTGAGCGTTTATTGGTTACTTAATAAACATTTAATTTAGTAATTACAAAATGCTGTATTTATAGTACATGTAAAAGGCATAGGGCAGAATACCCTTTAATGACGTAATACATAATGCGAAATATATCATGCATTTAACATAAAGCTGCTGATACAGTGTATATGTACACGATTGCATCACATACTTAGCTCAAAGGCGTCAATCGCCGAAACAACCTGCAAATATTTCTTTAATCTAAGGTACAGTTTTTTTTACCAAAGGATTAATATTTTGAAAGTGAAAGTCGTATATTTTTTTTATTCTGGAATTTTAAAAAAATTAAAGTAAATCTTTAATTAATTTCGTTTGAAAAAAGGGGGACCAGCAATATTTTTTTCTTCCTTACATGGACATTAGATTGACCAAGAATAAACAAAACATAATTATGATAGTATTTTTCCGATTCTAAGATATCTTAACAAAGATACTTGTAAATAAGCACAAAAGCGGAATACAAGAATATAAGCACCACCAAAATATAAATAATATTACCGAAATAAGTTTTATTCAAATAATCAAGTGAGAGACTTCAAATTAAAAATAGCATATATTGTCCATATACTTTTGATATTCACATTTTTCAGAGAAAATTCAAATTCACATCGATCAAAGCGAATCTCGAACAAAGACAGATATATTTTGAAAAACAAACAACACCGAGCATGCTTAATAAATCATCTAGTAAACAAGATGAAGTTATATATTATCTTAATATATAGAAAAGCTGTAGAGACATTTAGAAATGTGTACTTGTACCTTGTATTATACTTGTAAAAGTGTATTGACTAAATCGAGATTCAGCGATGGTAGCAAGCCTTTACTTAATGCACTTTCTACATTTTATGTTTTAACTGACTTAGATCACAAACTATATTTTCATAAGACTCGAAACACTACATGCTTCTTTGTCAGACGTTTTTTCAAAGTTGAAAATTGAGGTTATGTTCAATATAGAACATAGCTATTCAGCACTTCAAAAGATTCTGTTTACACTGTAATATCTGCTCACATTTGTTATGTTAGTATCTTTAACAGGTGAACGTAGTATGTAAAAGGGATTATATGATAATGTGTGTAATCATGCTCATAAAACAACGAGGACAGAAAAAAACTTCCTTCAATGACTATATTTGATATAGATATTTCTGAAATTTCAGATCTGTCAGCCTTATTCAAAAGTAATACTAATGTAGAAACTACTCCCGTGGGGCTGTTTGTTTTGTAAGAAAATGCAGTTTTGAAGAATTAGGTTAAAGTATGTGTTTATAAGTACGACGATACGACGTTACAACGTAAATTGAATGAATATAATAAAACAATATAAATTACAATATGAGAAACTCACCCAGGATATATGCAAAAATATACCTAACAAACTTCTACATAAGCACAAATGCCTTTCATAAACATGAAATTATTTCAATTCGTTTCCATATTTATCGAATTATATGTTATATGTAGAAAGAATTATATCTAATGTTATATATCATACAGTAATTATATAATTATTATATTATTATATTATTACATTCTTATATAACTGTATCAATGTTCAGTTCAGCGCAATCATCAAATGGGAGATTACATTAAAGTAATTCGTCCAATGAACTGTTATCAAACATCACATTATTTCAGTGTTAAAGTTCTTTTCGTATTTATTTAATGTTAGTACAAAAAACAATAGATTTATGTTCCTATAATAAAATATCTAACATTCTACCATTATATAATTACATTGATTATATGATTTTCAAATTATATGTTTTGTTTTAGACGTGTCCTTTTATAGAAATAAAATGCACAAGCTAAACTTATGGTTATGTAATATATTGGCTTATCAAGAGTACACTTTCTTACCCATGAGTAGAAGGTCGCAGCACCGGCGCTCACTATTACTATATCTTCCATTCGGATATCTTTTAGCAAAGCCTTTGTTCTGTTTACCGTGTCCGCCTTTAGTTTGTTTAGGTCAATTTCCTGGATTCTCCTCTTCAACGAGACTTTCCCAGTTTTACCTATCAGGGCCTGCACATTTTTCCAATCCTACATAAATGGAGTAATAAGGGTATTACGATTTCGTTAAAGGTAAGGGAGACAATTTTTGTCATACATATATAAAGGTAAGAGTTGTTTACCTTCCCAATATAAAAATAAAAAGTCGCACGATAAATAAGTCATTTATATTTCACTCAGTTTTTGCTTTAAAAATCTCATTTATACATTCATTTGTTCGTTCGTTCGTCGTTCGTCCGTCCATTCGTTCGTTCTCTCATTCCTTCATTCATTCATTCATTCATTCGCTCACACGTTCCTTCGTTTGTTAGTTCTTTTGCGTTCGTTTTTTTCCATGAATTGTTGATAAATAAGCTTCATGTATTAAAGACCGTTTGTATAACTGGCAAACGTAATGTAGGACCAGAATTCTTAATGTACGGGTACAATTGCTTGACTTTGAGATATTTGGATACCTTTGTTTCTTCTTCCGTGTTGCCTAGCAACATGAGCGTGGCTCTCATCACTGTATGAACCTCTACTGTCGGATGAGCGTAAGATTTTATCTCGGCAATTGTTCTCTGGTTCAACGTCATAACCTGGATTTGAATAAATAATAAGTATAGGTAATTATATAGAAGATGCACATATATGCATTTGTACACAAATCTAAAGTACTGCAACATAAGTTCGTCGAGATCTATAGTAACCTGATTAACAAAAGAAGAATAACAATGTTACAAAATACATGTACATCATTATTGAATGCTGATAATAATATTGTCAAATCACTGATATATGCACATATGAGCCGTGTCACGACAAAACCAACATAGTGAGTTTGCGACCAGCATGGATCCAGACCAGCCTGCGCATCCGCACAGTCTGATCAGGATCAATGCTGTTCGCTTACATACTCTATATATCAAGTAGAGAAACTGATAGCGAACAGCATGGATCCTGATCAGACTGCGCGGAGGCGCAGGCGGGTCTGGATCCATGCTGGTCGCAAACCCATTATGTTGGTTTTGTCGTGACGCGCCACATATATTTCAATACTTCGACTACGAACATATTTAATTCTTTTCTCTATTTCATACGTTTGACTGAAACAGATTCTTTTAATTCTTTAATTTTTTTCTAAAGAAAAAGAAAATAAGAAATTTATTCTTTATTTAGTTTTTTTGCAAGTTATCAAAGCATGTAAAGTGAAATCGATTTAATTTTTATATGCATTAAAAAGGGGGAAATTATTGTTGAAAATGAATTAAACAAACAACTATGCATATTATAACACTACTCTACCTCGTGTATGAGTTTTTGTAGACGTTTTAATCTTGCAATAAGATCTCTGGCTTCTCTAAGTTCAGGTCCGAGTTTGGGGGCATAGCCCTTACTCTCCACTAGGTCCACCGTCCGTTCCAGCTCCTCAAGATTCCGTGATTCTATAGCCTTCGATAATTCTGGTAAGTAAAACAGAGAGACAAAGGTTTTACATGAAAGATAATCTATTGATAAAACACATAAAGACATGTATATTTTTTAAAAAATGTTATTCAAGAGTGTGTTCAAGATTAGTCCTTTCTATTTCAAATGAGTACTGTTTGAGTTTCAAGTTGAGTTTAATTCACATTTAATTTATGCGAAGCCTACAGTCCTCAAACGTTTTTGTTGTTGTTGTTGTTGTTGTCGAGATAAATATGTAATTTTGAATGACCCGAATAGGTAGGAACATAGCAAAGGCCATGATTTTCTTTTGTCAAAGAAAAATAATACACACACTTGATGGCCAAGAAATCATATTTAAAGAGTTTCATCGTTAATCTCTGCACGTGTAATGCGTATTACTTTACTACATCACACGATGTCATTATTTACTAATACATACTTTCTCTGAGTTCTCCCTCTTCGTCAACTTCCGGAGTAGGAGTTCGGTCTCTAACCACCGGTTTAGGGGCTGGTGGAAGGGCACTTATGATATGGTAGTTGCAAATGTTCCGTTCGTGGCCTAAAATTATATCAGTGATAAAAATACTATGTTGTTTTCACTTTAACAATTTATGTTCACGTATATTGTATTGACTTGTTTGGTGTCAAACACGGTTTGAAGTTGTAGGATTTTATGAAATAATGTTATAGTAGATCTAATAGAAAAATTGATGCGCACATATGAATGCTGGTATATAATTCAGATGATAATTATAACTCTGATCTGCCATTAAGTAATTTTTCTTTATCAATTTCAAATATGTATAGCTTGGCTATGTTTCAACACAGATATTTCTTGAAATTATGTTCTTTTCGTGTTTTACAGATAAATTGTTCGGGTTTACTTTAAATTAAATCATCTTCTGTTATTGATTTAAACATTCAATGAGGACCATGGACTTTGTTTATGTATACTAACCTTCTCCAAACACGTGACTAATTTTCATTTTGAATTCTCCTTCGTTCACATTGAATGCTGCCTCGAGGATATCTCCATTTTGTTGGAATGGGTGTGACTCCGTCATTACATCATCTTCCGCCCCTAGAGGCAGCATCTGGTACATTATGTTTGCTTTCTTGAACTTATCATGGTCTATGATTTTAAATTTAACTTCCAGTGGCCCAGGTTCGGTCTTTATCGTGCCGTTTGGATGGCTTAAAGCCTGAAGACCGAACTCTCCCAGGATTTTTCCTGGTCCCCATCCGGCTGCCTCCACTACTGGGAAGAAAGTTTGGCGTTCTGGAATACTATTAACAGTCACTTTATAAATAGCTACCCAATCAAAATCATAATCCGGTTGATTAACAGTTATGTCTTTACCAACAATTTCAAGTTTGTATACACCAGTTTTTGGGAACCTGACTTTTATAGATAATACATTCTCATTTGGACGGTTGATGAAGTCAAGCTGCACGTTCTTTTGAGGCAATTCAACCGGCTTTGTTCGGATTTGCTTTGCGTTTTCGATGAAATGTGTAGGAATACACAGAAAAGTGTGGTTGGCTGATTTTTCAGGGTGTAGACCAAACAGAATATCTATCTCGCCGTCTTTCGCTTCAGCGTTGCACTCGGGATGGGATAAAACTCGCATTTCTAAATTAAAGAATCTGTCCTTTAAGAAAACCATGGTTTCAAATTCTTTTATTGTTTTCTTTGAATCTAGTAGTTGCCACATGGGTTCTTCAGGAAAATGGGTGTATATCAACTGCTGGGGGTCAGTCAAGAAAAAGTTTTCATCACATGTGTAGAAATAATCTGAAAAGGGAACGCGAAAATTATTATACCATTATTATTTTATAATACGTGGTGGCAATATAATAAATAACATAGATGCTTGAATGTGTTACTTTATAAAATTTCTTGCTCTTTATAAACTTGAAGCGGATGGGCGAAATCTGACAATTCACTTCAAACAAGGTAAATGCTATTTAAAAACATTTAAATTGTAAAAAATGTTTTCTGTCTGGTTCGAAAAAGAAATAAAATATATATGCAGCAAAGTAATCATAAAGAATTCGAGACTGGCATATGATGACTAAAATTGTTGAAACATTAATTGATTAAATCATGTATAAATAAATCAATTCAAGTGTTAAATGTTAACAGAAAGTGAAAATCAATCTGTAAAGTCAATATAACATATTTGCTTTTGACAATTGTTATTGACGTAATATTATCGTATTGTAAAATCTTTACATAATACTGGAATTTCATTTGACGTAAACAATAGTTAAATAGTTAAATGGTTAAGGGACGGGAACACTTAGTAGTTATGGTTTCATAACTAGAGATTCCGAGTTAAAACTCTTCCTTGTCGCGAGAAGGTTTCTTTTTTATACAAGTTAGTTCCAGGAGCTAACTAGGTTGTTATGACTTTTAACTTGTTATGCATGGAATTCGCTGCATAATGGCAATTTAATAGATGGTAACCAAATTCGCAGACTGAATTACTTTGCTTAGCATCTTCATCTTCATCACCAGACAATACGCATGCGCCCCAGAATGCATTGACTAAACGCCAGTTTCCGTCGATGAGGACAGCGTTCCATTCACCACGATGGACATCTTTATTTATTTTCTGACCAACTTCATACGTAGACCCTTTCAGGTATCCCCGTACTATGGCACATGGTAAGTCGGCATACCTAAATAATGAGAGAAATAAGGTTATTTAAGCATACAAAGTCTCAACTTGGATCTACACAAGTATTTGCCAACTTCTACACATCGTTTTATTTATTTTGCGAGAACAATATGTAAATATAACTACGTCAAGGTAATGTAGTTAAATGGTATCATTTAAATAAATTTAATTCTTAATTATTTATGAAGGTCTTAAACCCCTACGGCAAATGTTCTGTATAACATAATTTAACGTTTATCACAAGGCTTCAATTGACATATAATACAAACCATCCTGCTGATGATCTAAGAAAAGTTTACAAATAATTTAAAATATTGTGCATTAATGTGACTTCATCACAGGGGTACAAAGCTTTGTGTTATCTTTTTTTGAGAATCATAATTGAGCCGCGTTACGACAAAACCAACATAATGGGTTTGCGACCAGCATGGATCCAGACCAGCCTGCACATCCGCGCAGTCTGATCAGGATCCATGATGTTCGCTTATCTACTCTATTACATGTGGATTAACTGACAGCGGACAGCATGGATCCTGATCAGACTGCGCGGATGCGCATGCTGGTATGAATCCATGCTGGCCGCAAACGCATTAAGTTGGTTTTGTCGTGACGCGGCCAATATATAAATTTACATGTTGTGTGCGATAATTTACTGATTTTGCAGTATTTACATATATCACTATACATATCTTGTTACTGCGTGACTAATGAAATAAGGGATATTTGCATACTTTGACACATTTTGATAATTTAAAGTGACGTTTGCAATAAAAAGAGAAATAGCATGAATCTGGATTAAATAATGCATTGGTGAAATCATAAATGTTATCAATTCAAAAGGATACCAACTTTCTTTTAATATGACTAATCTGTCTTGGCATAGTTTCTTAATTTTAATCTTCAGTTCTCAACTTGTATTAAAAGTGGATTTCTTTACTTTGTGAAAAAAAGTTATAAAATATGACAGGACTTTGAATTTTTGGTAGACGTAATCTCTGACATGTCTATGGTATATATGAGCCGCGTCACGACAAAACCAACATAATGGGTTTGCGACCAGCGTAGATCCTGATCAGACTGCGCGGATGCGCAGGCTAATCAGGATTCATGCTGTTCGTTTACAAACCCTATAACAAGTAGAGAAACTGCTAGCAAACAGCATGGACCCTGATCAGACTGTGCGGATGGGAAGGCTGGTCTGGATCCATGCTGGTCGCAAACCCATTATGTTGGTTTTGTCGTGACACGGCTCATATATACAAAACGACGTTTAAGTGTTTGAGATTTATTTTCTATAGAGACATAAGAAGGGCATTAAGGTGGAATCGTCGGTGGGGTACGAAGATAAATGCTATTTTCTTTTTTTATATTCTCTTTTTTTCTTGTTTGATAAAAAATTGGAAATTTCTCGCAATAAATTATTCTGTAGAGAGTAACTTTAATTGTTCTTTACAGTTATATTACAATAAAGATAAAGACGTTATTTAAGTACATGCATATAGGTTAACAAACAGTTTCGTGTTTAGCCAGTAAGCAGAATGATTCTTAACAAAGATCTTTCAGTCTAAACCTTTATTTAAAGATATGAATACTTTCTTACTTACTTTATAAATATTAACGACAATAATATATTTTAGTAACACGTTTTTAACGCCTTATAAACTGAGCACACATATGCTCAAAATTTGAGATTTATTCATTAGTTGTACACAGGAAGCCTTCATGTAAAATATATAAGTATCAACTTGTTATTTCTCTGATTTCAAAGACGCCTCTTACCAGCATAGTAAACTGAAGAATCCAGCATAGGTATTCCTCTTATGTTTCAAGTTCCATAGCTGAAACATGGCGGTGTTCTGTTTGGCATTCTTCTTGTAGTCGGACGTCTCGACTGGCTGAGATGTGAACCAGCGGTAAAGGGCTCGAACCTTAGAGAGGTCATCGTCGTAGTCGCCAGTCAATAACCGGATGAGTTCTGAAAGTGGCTTTTCTAGAGCTTGATCTTTGACCTGTACATATATGAGATAGAGAATAAATTATTTTTCAATTATGCTATAACGGTTATCTTTATATTTGACTTCGAAATATTGGTAAAAATATGATACTCAAAGACCGACACAGAACAGTTCTGTTGTGCGCGTCGTCAGCTGAATTGAATATAAAAAAGACTAGATCCTACGAAAGAGCGTTGGGAACATTAAAACTTTGTGAAGTTGAAATCGGGAATTCATGAAGTTGAAATGGTCCTACAGGTCGTTCGTAATCCTACTGAAATGGTATTGTAATGCGTACATTCTAAAATTAAAGTGATAAAACACTTACGTGACATACAAACGCATAAAAACAAATACAATATGGATATAGATTACTTTATAATAGGGGAAATTTTTCGAAGACCACGTGGAGTTTTAATTCAATCATTTATGTAACAAGTTTAACAGTGAAACAAATCCATAAAAAGTTGATGTGTTTATTGATGATGGTGACAAGAAGGTAGTAACCGCTACAACATGGTGATTTCAAACGTTTTTGTTTACTTCTGTTTTTTATTCTTTAAATTGTTAACAACCTGGCATGATTATAAATTGTTACCATGATATCATGTAATCGATGTTCACATATTTATACACTCAGCGTGAGGTTTAGGTGTTTCAAATTGCTCGAAACTTCAACAAATTAATCTTTAGATTGTCATCGCGCTCGCTTTGATTCATTTGAAGTATGAAGTATAAAAAAACTCGTATTGTTTTTACATTAAATTGCATTTTGTTAATGCTATCGTTGAATAATATTGTCAAATAAACGTACTGTATTACCAAAGCGAAGAATGAAAAATTAAAGATAAAATAAAGTGAGTCACTCAGTTAAGTTATAACTAGGCCACGTGTTACCACATTACTACACATTACGAAGTAATAGATTATTACATACCGCGTCTGTCCTCTCATCCACGTGCACATAATCGTCTGGATCAAAGATCTCGTGTTTTCTCGTCGGTGCAGTGTGAGGTGGCGGGATATCCTCGAGACGTACAATGTCATTTGAGTACAGGAAATGTGTGTGCGAATACTCATAATGTTCACCGTAGGGTGGCAAGTAAGTTAGTAAATCCCAGGAATCTGGCTGGTCCTAAATAAAGTGTCGTAAATATAATAATTAAAATAAAACAAAAATAAACTAAACAAAAATGTTATGGCTTAAAACCGGACATTATAACATCACACCTGAAATGAAAATTCAATATGAATTTATTTATGACTCTGTATGACTACAACGTTTAAATTTTATGTTCATGTTAAACTGATAATAAACTTAAAGCAGCGAATTTCTATAATTTTAAAGAAACCAAGTTGTAATCAAACAAATGTAAAGATTTAGGAATGTTACATGTATAACCCACAACATTTATAATTTACCAGTATATGATAAAATTTCGATTTACATTTTATGTTTCCTCTTTTTTACGCACTAATTTACTTTGAAATAGTTGTTCATAATAATTATGTTGAAAAAAGGATAAAAACAGAGATATCCATATAAATATTATGTTGTTAATTCTAAAGGAAATATAAAAGTACCAAGATCCAAGTGAAAAAGAAAAAACCCAATGAAAAAAGTTGATGTGAATACAAAATTTAAACAGAATGCATTTGGAAGAAAGTAGTAAATACTACAGTTACAAAACTATTAAACTATTGTAACATAAGAAAGTAGTATGTTCAATATCGTTTTTATCACGTATAATGTTCGTAGTATTGCTGCATAATGTACATATATCATATACGTAGTATTGCTGTATAATGTATATACATTGTATATCATGTATGCAGCATTGCAGCATAATGTACGTAGTATTGCAGCATAATCAGATATCATATACGTAGTATTGCAGCATTATGTACATGTGTCATGTACGCAGTATTGCAGCATAATATACGTAGTATTGAAGCATGATGATATATGATGTACGAAGTATTGCAGCATAATTATATACCATGTATGCAGTATTGCAGCATGATGTACATATATCATATACGTAGTGTTGCAGCATTATGTACATATATCATGTACGTAGTATTGCAGCATTATGTACATATATCATATACGTAGTGTTGCAGCATTATGTACATATATCATATACGTAGTGTTGCAGCATTATGTACATATATAATGTACGTAGTATTGCAGCATTATGTACATATATCATATACGTAGTATTGCAGCATTATGTACATATATCATGTACGTAGTATTGCTGCAAAATGTACATCGTGTGATGTACATAGTAATGCGACATAAAAGAATTCGCTAAAAGTATTTAAGGCTAATTTAAATGTTTCAAATATTACACCTCTAGTTATAACAAAAGTGTTGAGATGGTTTGTTAAATACTAAACAGGATAACTATTTATTCAACATCTAAACAATAACCCTGTGTGTGCGAATTAGACGTGTTAGTAATTCCAGAAACGTTATAAAAATATATAAACAAATAAATAAATATACAAATTAAAAATATCGATTAATTATTTTCACGATTAGCTCAAACAAAAATATACAAGAATGATTGCATTCTATTAATATACTTTAGTTATTTTATGACAAAATAGTATACAAAGAAACATTTTTTTTTTCAAATTGCACTGTATCCAATTTAAATAGACAGAGTCAAATATAAATATCGTACTAAAGATACATGTAGATGCTAGATTTTAGAACAAATTGAAGGATGACTACTACTAGGTAAGTGGTTCAGTGAGTACGAATAAAATATTTATTACCGGAATCGTGTCCTGTTCAATGCTGGGAGGGCTTTGCTAAAATATTTAAGGTAGTCTTACTTTAACGCTTTCCCGCCAAAAATTCTAATATTCCGAAACTTTATTTTTTCAAAATCTAAGGGCATTGCATTACTTACAATCTCAATTCCGGTTACAAAGGGTTAAAAAATTATTGAATACCGATGATTGTGAAAAATAACGTTCCGGAAATGACCGATTTATTACGATGTTTGCCGATGTTAGAAATCTTTTAACTGGAAAGCATTACAGTAAGACGACCTTAATAAATGAACACTATACGCCGTCTATGGACAGAATATCAAATGTTGTTTAAATTACATGTTTTCTTGGTGAGATACATTGACAAAACTGTGCTGATTTGTTGGAAAATGGCCAGAATCTGATTTTAAGGTCTACCCATTCATTTTCCCTCATATTTATCTTATTTATAACTAATAATATATATTTGTGTGAATCATTTTTTTTTCATTTCCATAGTTCAAGTCACAAGTTCTTTTTTCAATGGCGTTATCTTATACTTTGAAGAGTTAAACAATGTATAAATAACACATGGGTTTGTGGTTAACAGTAAAAATATCATGAGGAAAATATTGTATTTTTATGATAAAGGATGATATTGTGACCGTTACTTACATACCCATGTGTTATTTTTTGTATTAACCCGAGCAATTATGTAATCTATAATACTATGTTTTAGGACACACATCTCATCACCAAATCTATATACTGTTGAAAAGTGCTGTTACCCTGTAACAGTATAAATTTCTTAGTCGCGTGGAACAATTGCCTTTACAGTAAAAATAACTCCCAGATTAACATTACACAAAAAAGTGAAGAGTAACAATATACAATACATTGATGTAATGATAATGGTGATGGGCAGCTAAAGCGGATATCTTTTGAAGACATTTCACCAGCATACTAACATTCGAACAATAGACAAGATAAATTTTTCCTGCTGGAATGAATCGTGATATTCACAATAAGATTTTATATTGTATGGCTTCGAACTGTGAGCATTGATGGGAATGATGAGACGATTATATATATACAAAACCATTATAAACTTTAAATGAGCCGCGTCACGACAAGACCAACGTAATGTGTTTGCGACCAACATCCGCGCAGTCTGATCAGGATCCATGCAGTTCGCTATCAGTTTCTCTATTGGAATAGGGTTTGTAAGTGAACAGCATGGATCCTGTTCAGACTGCGCGGATCCATGTTGATCGCAAACGCATTACGTTGGTTTTGTCGTGACGCGGCTCAAATATTGTTAAATCTAACGATTAATGTGTCAAGAAATGGCTAGCTTTTCTTTAAATATTAATACACCAACAATGCCAAAAACATAGTTTATATATTACCTATAAGACACAGTGATAGCCAATAAATCAAAGAGATAAACAGGTGTTAAAACATCATACCTCTTTAATCTAAGTATAGACTGCCAAATATAGTGTACCTTTAATCTAGTTTTTATTACTTTTAAGGACAATTACTTGAAATGAATGCGTTTACAAGTTAAATGCCAAACCAGTGTTATACTGTTCTGGATTGACCTCTTTTAGAAAGATTTTTTTAATACAACCACGTTGTTCTCTACATGAATCAGAAATACCTAAAACGCGACAATGATGACATAATAAGCTAAATTTGGTGTGAAGCAAGAAATGATCGAACAAATAATCAAAAACAATGACTAAGCATTTCAAAAGAAATACTCATGAAAAAACAGTCTTATCGTTTAATGATATCTAGTACGGAACAAGTTCAGTGAGAAAGGATCAAGTTCACTGAAAAAAGAGTAATAGCAATATGAAAAAAGGACAGCTTGGTGTTATAAGGGACTCCACTGACGTTTTTTGACATGTCGGGACTGGAAATAATTTTTCGCGATTATTACTTCATTTGATGTGGGTCTATACCAACAACCTGACTGTTTGCAAAATTTCAGATCATTAACTCCTTCTGTTTTTCCAGAATAATTATTTCAATTGTGAAAAATGACCCAAAGTTGAAAAGCGTTGCAACGCTTTTCAGTCAAATCGGACTGAGAATACCACAAACATACGATTTTCAACGCATTTCTGGGTATATGTCTTAGTTTTATTTTAATTATATCTCTGTTTTAAGTTCCCCAGTTGATCTATGTGAGGAATTGAAATTTTATGTTTTAGGCTTATAAACCTCAGTGGAGTTCTTTTGAGGATCCAGGCCAGTTAAAATGAAACAAGGTCAAGGAGTAAATTAAAGTATCAAGTCCAATGATTATGAGCCGATTAATAGCTGCAGATGGTGACGACAGAACAGAACAAGTCTAAAGAGAAACAGCTATTACAGAAATTATAGAATTCGTCAAGAGAGAAAGGTAGAAATCGAGCAAATAAAAAACACAACAGAACCAGGTACATGACAAGCAAACCAGTTCATTTGGAAAGGAACCAGTCCAGTCAGACAGGACTAGTCCAATGACAAACGAACTAGTCTAGTGACAAAGGAACCAGTCCTGTGAGAACGGAACCAGTGCAGTGACACGGAGCATTTCAGTCACAAACGAAACAGCCTGTAACAAAACGAACACGTCCAATGAGAATGGATGAAGTCCAACAAAAAAGCAGTTCATTGGAAAATGAACAAGTTCGGCAAGAAAAGATCCAGGTCAATGAGAAAGAAACTAGTTCAGTACAAAAGAATCAGTCCATTGAGAAAGGGACATCCTAGTGACGAAAGAATCGGTCCAATAAGAAAGAAATTAATTCAAGTAAAAAAGAACTGGGTCTACATTAATCAGATCAGTGAAAATGGAGGTTCAACGAGCAATAAACCGGTCCAGTGAAAAAAGATTCAGTCCAATTTTATGTTCTGTATGATCTATATTTACATTTTATAGATGGCCAGTCTGTATTAGTGACTAAGCTTCTATGCCTAAAATTTACTATGCATAAATACTTTCTCGGCGTGAACCAAATTTGTTCAGCTGTTTTGCCTTTCCTGGCCGATTGCATAAAATGGAAGAACAAATAATGTAAAGAGGCCAGATGAATAAAAAAAACAATTGATAAAGTTGAAAATAATGGACACTAGTTTTCTTAGAAATCTGAAATCTTGGTTCAGGTAAATGTGAATGTGTTTAACTTGGTATGCATCCGATTCTAAAAAAAACGTTTTACCGTCTTAATGACAAAGAGAACAGAACAGTGCATAAGTTACACTACTTTGATTCCCTATGTTGTTTTTGTATAACTCTGTAAAACGTGCACATCAAAAATAGTGATAGTGAAAGTGTTTGTTCTTATTCTTTAATAAATCCATTATATTTTTGAACATTTCATGCCCCAGCATTTGTTTAAGTTTTGGCGTTCTTTGCGGTTCATTGCACGATTATTTTGATACTTCGACCAATAAGAAAGTAATTACTGTTATTATGTTTTTATAATTTCATCAGTTATCTTTCGAGTTTGCCTTACATTCCGTGTTTTGGAATAAACACAAGATGAACAGTTTTAATATTCTAATGATACTTAAAAAAGCCAATATCAAATCCTCCACCAGAAACTCGTGCAATGTCAAATAACAAAATCGTGCAGAGATTCACCGGTCTTCCTTTACTTGACTTAGGCCTTGTTTTGCTTTTGGGTCTCGTTTTGCTGCTTGGCCTTGTGTTGTTTGACTTTGTCCCATTAGAATTTCCAACAACGTCGTAGACGTTAACGTCTGTTTTCGTATTAGCGTCGTCCTTTTTATTGATAAGAAAGTATATGTTTATAGAAATATGATTGAAAGGCAACCATCTGGTATGAAATAGATGAATGTGCTTCTTAAATTTACAAAAAAAGCAGTTTTATCAAACAAAAGGAAATTTACCGTAAATACGAGTATATCACTTTTTTATCCAAATCTAATTGCTTAACTTTGAAATGCGAAAAAGTTTCATTTATTGAATACTAAGTTATTTATTAATTTATTAATTTATTAATTTATTAATTATTAATTTATTAATTAATTTATTTATTTATTTTTCATTCATTCATTCATTCATTCAATCAATCACTCACTGACTGAGACAAATGGAACCTCAAATGTCTACCCCAAAAAACTCATTTGTGTGACAAATGTGCTCCGACCAGAAAGCCACATTTGTCTCATGATTTTTAAGGGACAAGAAAGCACATTTGTCTTCATGCAGATTTTTTCGAGGTTTCGCCCGTTTTACCTATACTGTCAAATGTAATCAACAATAGGTTTGGCAAATGTTTATTTTTTATGAATCTTAAACCTACAGTGAACTATCAATTATAATATCTCCTAATTCAAGAAATTTGATTGGCTAAACCTGAAGGCAAACACTGAAACATACGGAATCCCGTTCACGATGTACAATGGTAAAAACGAGATAGACACAATTGGCATGATGATGAAAACGCGATGGTACGCATGATGAACACACGATGATACAAACTTGAAACAACGCATTGTACGATGGTGAAAATCGTGGTAGTACGATGGCTGAAAATGCGATGGTACGATGATGAAACTGCAATGGCATTATGTTGAAAACGCGAAATTATTTTCAACATCGTGTCATCGCATCATAAATAATTTAAGCATCGTGCCATCATTGTTTTCATCATTCATGCCGTCGCTATTCTATCATCGTACCTTCGCGCTTGAAATCACCATTGTACCATCGTGCATATCGGTTTCAGGGAGACAAAAATGTTACGGATCACCGTAATCGGTAGGAGCAGTAGTCCAGTGGTAGGACGCGCGCTTAAGGATCGAGAGGTCCCGGGTTCGAACCCCACTAGGGGCACTGCTAATTTCCTTGAGCAAGAAATTTACCTGCGATTGGCTTCACTTCACCCAGGGTAAACGGGTACCTGTGAGGGTGGTATAAATCCGTTGCGCCCAAAGTGTCGGCTGCACTAAGCGGAGTTAAAAGACTCCCCAGGGAGATTGATAGATAGATACCAGTAGCCCGATGACAAGGGGTAATAGCTGTAAAGTCGCCGTGAACGTGCGTAAGCATGAAACTTAGACTATAGAATGCAATTATTTTTACTTTATTTACTTTAATCGGGGCGATATTTGAACGATACAATATCGCGACTCGTTCGCATCTCGCCTGAATCTCGCGTCTCCGCTTCGCATATCGTTCGGCGGCGCGCGAAAGAGGCAATATACGACTAAATAGTATTCCCTTTATATTCTATATAAAACAAATCCTTATCTCATTTTTAAGAGTTATGATAAAAACTGATATAAAATGATGAAAGAAAAATTTCTAACGTCATAATTTGTTACTGTAAAATCACTTAAGAATTACAGTGCTGTGACGTGAAAGAAGAACCACCCATTACTAAGACTGAAATTCACATAATCAAAGTACAACCTTTACTCGCATTTTTCAACCCAAATGTCAAAAACACTTTCCATGATGAAATTTAAACAGAAAATAGCTTTTGTGGTCGTCTATAGCCATGCAGTGCGTGAAAAAGTGTCAATAACCTGTCCGCCATTGGGCGACAAGCCCAGATGGCTCCGTTCCTTTATCATAGTCAGGCATTTAAGAATCACATGCACGAAGCGATGCGCGAGAGACAACAAAAGCGGCATTCCGGCAAAACATGAAGCGAGCCGTGAAATTTCGTGGTACGGGATACTTCGACATTTGCGAGATCTCGTGTTACAGTATCGTGCCTCGCTTCTGGTCTCGTCGGAATGTTGCGTCTCGCCCGATTCTGCGAGGTCCGATACCGGATTCTTTTAGGAACTCATGCACGTTGTAAGTGCTTTTCAATGGCGGTTCTGAAAGCATCACTTCTCTGATAATGGCGATATTTTTATATGGTTCTGATGAAAATAAATACGTGTCGGATGGTGATCTCATTTTCTTCCTTAGATCATTTAGGGGTCTCCGTGACCGGGTGATTTCAAAAAACTACTTGCCCCTAACCGCTGTAGGTTTGACACTCACTCGGAGCGTCGAACTATTCATGCGAAGAAGATTGTCCAGGGTCCAGATGCAGAATACCTATCCGCGTGCGCACGTAATAGTTATCGCAGGGGCACGCAATCACTATTCCTTTCGAACGTAATAGCTATCGCGTTCGCAAGTAAAAGTATCGAGTGGCCTCGTAAAAGCTTTCGCGTGCGCACATAATAAATAAGAAAATCCGAAGTCCCTTTTATGCCACCGTAAATACTACCTTCTTGTTGCTTAGAATAATTCCTAAATCATCTATAAAACTTTGAGCATCGGAAAGAAAAGTGTCACAATTAATAACGATAAAAATCTCGCTGCATGCAATGTGTTTGGGTTCTGGATACTGCACTGGTAGAAATTTTCATTGTGACACGCAGAACAGAGATATTCTTTAAGTTAATATGGGACTCCTATGCAGAGGTAGGAAGTTTTTGATTGACCGGGAGTGACATAGAAACGATATTATAAACACAGACAACACAGAACAATGACTGGTCGCCAGGAGACGGACGCGGATAATTATTACCTTTTTAGAATTTTATGAAAGAATGTGAGACAAATGTGCTTCAAGTGTTCTTTCTATTGTGTGTCGAACACATCTGTCTCATTTCCCATTTTTCGCAAATATGAATGTTTACGACCACATCGGTCACATCTCGTGAGACAAATGTGCTCCGAGACAAATGTGCTCCGAGACAAATGTGCACCTACATAGCTCACTCAACAACATGTGATTATCGTGTTTTTGTGAGATATTAAATTGTTTATTATGTCCACAGCTAAACATACATTAATTATAAAACGAGTCGGTCTAATACTTTCATTTACAGAACTGCTTTCAATTTCTAATGTCACATTTAGTTTCATTGAATTCTATATATTATACAGTATACATGAATATAAAGTAGAAATTTAACTTTCAATAAAAAAAAATAATCTTTTAGGTAATATATATTTTCGTCGTTCAAAAGTACAATACACCTTTTATGTTTACTCTTTATAATAAACAATTGACTTCAGTCACGTAAATATGTTATTCTTTATGAAATTTGATATCAAGTTTAAAAAGAAAAGAAAATGATTTACGCCAATGTACGGGTATTATATTGCTATTATTATATGCTATAATTATTGAGTGAGCTCGCCACATAATTTAGAGGACCCATAATGTATGATCTTATTGAAACTATTTAAATTAACACAAACAAGCTTCATTTTTTTTCCAAAGGTAAATACTCGTTACCTTACAATTCACAAAATTCAATTTCTGTTGGAAAATTGCCTTTGTCAGACTTTTACCAAAGTAACAATAACTACAAGTTGCGATATTTGTATTGCTAAAAAAATCTAATAAATCATTCCTGTTATATTAAGTCCAACAGAAAAAGTGACATTATACCTATTCAAGGGTATATAATAGTAAACAGACTCCAAAGGTATATAAAGAAATTTTCCAAGCTTAAACTCAGATCTCATGTATTTGATTGGTCACAAACTGTCACAAAATGTACACTAAACAATGAAGATCTTCACATTTAAGACAGACCTCAATGTCAAGATTACAAGTCTCGCATCTTAACCGATTGAGCTATGCGGTCTGGCAACAACTTCGCCTACCTTATATGACACAGTGCAATATGCGAATGCCACAGTCGTAACACTTAAGCTTACACCTTTAAAGTAAGGGCCAACATAATTTCCTTGTTCATTTCCCTTTGTCTAATTTTTCTTTCCTTTAAAATCTAATCTCATTAAAATCAATAACTATTTTGATCTCCACATTGTTATAATTCGTGATTAAAATTTACTCTCGATGAAAAAACAATTGACGCGAAACGATCCCGTTACTGCATTAAACTACATTGTATTTCAGTTCATTTCTCAAACGTTCAATAACTTTCAATATTAAAGGTTAGCCCGTACCCTGCCGGAACCAAAAGTGGTAAGGTCTGCCACCAGCGTCGAGCCAATTGACGCAGTCAGGCCATGATTGGTTATACTTCCATAGCGAAACAACCCCTTAAAGTCTGAATGGACACAAATTTAATGTAATGGAAATAACAGTCGATCTGGCGAAATAAGGAAACTGAAAACCAATGAAGCATAAATACAATAACAGGATTCCACAATACCGGTGAATATAAGAGGATAGCAGTACTGCCTGTTTTAATTAGTTTATTTCTTCATGAACACTTTCTATATTAATAGTACTTGTCCAACAGTCGGGCCTCGATCTTGATTTATAATAACTCGATTTTAAAAGATTTCTCCATCCTTTTGCATTCATTTCCCCCCCCCCCCCCAAATTTTAGCCATTTCTCTAAATGGCTTTAAAATGTTTTGAAGATCAAACGGCGTGATTTTTTCAATCAATATTTTTCTTTCAATTTAAACATATTTCTCAATGCAAGATAAGTAGCTATTAAACCAGGGACGTTAATCGCCGATATTGTAAAACAACTCATAATAAAAAAACATTAACACGTGAACGAGTGACCAAAAATAAATCAACAAGAAAAACAAAGTTTCAAACAATAAAACTTCCATCTCAAAGCGACCTCATACCCATTGTAATGATTTGTTTATTTGGGACAATGTCAGACATTATTTTAAAAATACTTCACCAGTCAAATTATCTGTTATTGCACATTGTGTAACGATATTAAACTTCAACAAAGTTTGAAATACTACTCGTTAAATTGATAAAAGAAACTGTGCATGCAACCACACGATTAAACAGATCAATTTTTTCTTGTTTAAAGATAATAAAGCGTTCGTATTGACCCTCTATCTTTTTATGGGTGTAAGGAGCCGTGCTAACATATAGAGATATAATCATTTTAAACCAAATACCAGCAATATAGAACAATCAATTTCAATAGCCATATAATACACTGCAGAACTGAATCCGGAAACATGGACTTTTTCCAAATTTCTAGCCATTGTCTTTTTTTTATTCAATTATAGACATTTCTAAATTGTCTACCTGCTGTTAAGACCATATTATACTAATTACTTTTTGCAAATTATACTAATTATTTTTGCGAATTATATTAATTTTTTTTTTTTGAGATATAACGAGCGGAAAAGAAGAAAGTGTTAAACGGAATAATATAAGCTCAAAACAAACAAACAAATCTTGTACGGCATGAATGCTATGTTGAACAGAACAGAATAGAACAGAATATTTATTTTGACTTCAGCATCAATTATGAAAATATAATACATTAAATCGCATGCAAATGAAAATGGCAGAATATGTTAAGGAAAAACAAGTGATCAGTAAACATCAAATTAAATTGGCAAATATATATTACACTGTACACTCAAGACAACATTTGATTTATCTTCACATACTGCGTGGCATCGTTTAAATGTATGAATGTTACATTATGTCGGACTTGCCGGCAAATATCGCAACATATCCGAATATAAGAGTCGCAACAGCTTATTACTGTAAATTCTTCTTTCTTGATGCAATAAGTTGGTTAAAACCTCACGAATATTCCCGTCGGTTAATCTGTCGCATCATCATCATTTTTTTTGTCTACCATCAATCAATCTGAAGTTATTTTCGATATTTCTGAGTTGGGTACAGCTATTGATTTTCTTTCTTAAAGGGACTTCACTGAGTTTTTTTGACATGATGGGACTGAAAATAATATTTCCAGATAAATTTACCATTCGATGTAGGCTTAGACCACTAATCTTTGTGCAAAATTTCAGATCATTCGTGCACTTCGTTTTTCAGAGTAATATTTTAAATTGTAAAAAAATGACCCAAAATGAAAAGCGGTTAAACGCTTTTCACTCAAATCGGGCTAAGAAAAGCATAAAAAATACGATTTTCAATGTATTTCAACATATATTTCTAAACTATCTTTGCATATATTTCTGTTTAAAGTGCCCCAGCTCATTTATGTAAGAAAATTAAATGTTATGTCTTGAGGCTTTTAAACCTCAGTGGAGTCTCTTTAAGCCTATAAATCTTCAATTTTTAGCTTTGTTGTTTGCGATCGATTATGTTATCTAAGCTTAAAATTATGCGTTACAGTTCATTAAACGACAGCAACCATATTGAAAGGCACTGAGAGTTGGTTACGTTATTTTGTGCGTGCGCCCATTCACTCGCCTACAATGGAAAATAGTGCAAGGGCGCCACAAATGATCATGGCCTTAATCTTGCCATAATGGCATTGAAATACCCTATATTTTGTTACTATTTATAGTAACATGGATACTAATATGCCATCTAGCGACTTTTCGCAACGTTTTAAAATCACTTGTTTGCCTTGACGTCAATATCATGATGAAATGATGATCCAGAAATGCATGTAGAGTTTTATTTCATCTTTAAAATGGTCTTAAAAGTTATTTGTAAATATTGTTCACCATCTTAAAATCTTACAGATAACAAAATAAACATACATGCTTGCCTGTAATTATGTTAAAATATTGTTATAACACATAAACCGGCCGTATCAATATTGAGAGAATATTTTGTCATAACTTTGTTGTAATTCACTCTCACCATAGTGGTCATTACATTATTAATCCAAGTATCGTTTGATTTCATATTATTAGCGGCGATTATTAATACCCTTATCTGTGTTAATACGAGATTAAAATACATTTAGATTTCTGTATTAATGTTATAATAAAGTGGGAAAAGAAAACTTCAAATTTATTTGTTCAAACACTTTTATAAACATTTCAACAAATTATTTCATTTCTGACGACATGATGTCAATCGAAATATGTAGAGGATAATACATGAGTGTAGGTTCCATTATGAATGTATTGAACGGATTGTATAAAATTATATAATGCTAGCCTGTCTCCTACCTAATACCATTTTGTTTAACGGGTTTAATAAATCTAATAATAAACTTATTCTATTTAGCATATACCAAAAAGACTATTTTATATAAGAAAATAATATTTTTATCAAAACGCTCTGATTCCCAGGCTTCACTTAACGCTACAGTATTTTGCATAACGTATATAACGTCACGTCGTAGCATGCTTAACAGCATGGCAGTGTAATACCGATTTTACGGAGTCGTAAAAGCGGCACTGGTATGAGATAAATAGACTAGCTTTTTGTTTTAGAAAAAAGATAAAATGTATCTTAAATATTTTGCCGACGAACAGTTTACTGGTGTTCATTACATTACATAAATCTTCTAGAGCAAAGCTCATGTAAATTATGTGTATGTAGACATAGCAACCAATAACGCCGAGTTTCAATATTTATAAAAATTCAATTAATTGTATTTCTCAGTTTTCCGGGTATAACTCCTAATTTGTCATTTAAGTTTAATAGTAAATCATATAATGAATACAGAATCACTTGTTAACAGAACAAAACTAAATACGAATTCAATCATTTTTATCAAATAAAAGAAGAATTTATTTACCAAACCATATATATTATGTTAAATTTCAATTAATATTACAAAATATTTATATATATACAATACTAACAAACACACATTTAAAATTTTAACATCCAGAAGCCTTCATAATTATATTTATGGTTAACACACACTGTAATATAGTGGAGTCACAAAACACGTGTTGGACAGTCATTATGATCATTAATGTCAATATACTATTTCATAATGAATACACATATTATATGAAGATTATGTCACATCAAATAATAAATAGTATCATTATGGTATAAAATAAATCCACGTAATTAACTACACTTACCGAAGGTGGAGGTTTTGAAGATCCACTACCCATTCTTACCACTATTTGTTATCTAAATTAAATCCACAACCCGCTATTGTAATCTCCAGTCTTTTATCTTTTATTCAATGCGCCCCGTGTCAATAAAACATTTTAACTTCCTTTTCCGTAACGTACAAATTCACCATGTACAAACAAATCATATTGAAAAATTCTATCCGAACAAAACAAGCATCCGTTTCGTTCCTTCAAATAAATCTAAAAATAGTATATACCCACAATATCCGACTTTTTGGAAACGATATTTGATTTAAATCAATGATTTGAATTTAATATAAACGTCCAAACATGCACCGTAAACAATCCCTAATAATAAATTTGCTATGTAACGCGCCGGTAAAAAAATCGATCACTGACAAATCTATTTCTTGTATGATTAACAATAACTTTTTTGAAATAATACGCGTTCAGGGTTAAAGTAGAACAATATAGCTTTTGTAAAATTTGTCACGATTGTTTTACATTCCATATCTGTTGTTGATACGAACCGCTAAACAATGTTAAACCTCCTTCTAAACTTAATGTTTAAGTACTCCGTTTAAGTAAACCGTTTGCTAGACTTGCAAGAAAATAATCGGTCGAAAATAAAGAAAATATAAAAAGAAAGGGGCAGTTTGTAAACCTTGCTGCAGTGTATGAAAATGATTTGAGCCGCGCCACGACAAAACCAACATAGTAATTGGCGCGAGCAGCATGGATCCAGACCACCTGCGCATCCGCGCAGTCTGATCAGGATCCATGCTGTTCGCTATCAGTTCCTCTACTTAATAGAGTTGGTAAGGGAACAGCATGGATCCTGATCAGACTACGCGGATGCGCAGGCTGGTCTGGACCCATGCTGGTCGTAAAATCATTATGTTGGTTGTGTCATGACACGGCTCATTTAACTGCACATTATTCGATTGATCGTGTAAACAGCTGATAAAGTGACATTATGCCCATCCATGAGTTATCGTTGACTGTTCAATAACTTTTCATTTTGTCGAATTCGTTTTCAATGTTTTATTTACATCATCTGAATAATCAATAACCCCCAGTAACCTACATGCGTCTATAAATATCCTTCAGAATTTATCTGTAATATTCAATTTATATAGACTTGGGCAGTCTTTTTATATTTTGTGTACTTTAAATATTGTATCTTTAATGTTAGTTAATCAATTATTGGTAAATATAACATTGATAGTCAATCTTTTGATATATATGATTATTCGGCGCTTAACTTGACAGTGGAAAAAGAACGTAGCGCCATAATCACTTTAAAGCGTGCGAGCTGGAGCGTCAGCACTTGTACATGTATACGCTAGAAGAAGCTTCTAGTCATTCAATTCATAGCAACCATTACATAGCAGCAGGTGCTATAGACGAGATAGCGAGTGCTCGTTGTTCCAAATCCTGTACATCATCACACCCCTATCCATGAGCGAGGCGCTTATATCCTATAGCATAAGAAGCGTTAATGCGCACGCTATGTTATCAATGACTATATACACTCTCGCTGACAAGCATCGTCTCCACTTACTTCCTGGCAGGCCAGGACCACCACGGAAAGTTACTGTGATGATCCGAGACGATCCGGGGTGAAATTATTGTTGAGGTCACACTTATCCCGGGAGCACTACGGTGATTCCCAACTAACCACCCAGGATGCGCTCCAGACCATCCAGGCAGAGCCCAGGTGAAGTTACGGTTCATGCCGGTGCTTCCTCGGTCGTACCCGGATGACGCCGGAAGAGCCCAGGACGATCCAGACAGAGCCCCGGCAGAATCCCGCTGGATTGAAAACGCGCGAAAATGATTAAATTGATACATAATTTTTATTTAATATAATATCTATTGTTCCAGAATAGTAATTCATGTTGATTTTCTGAAAAGTCCTCACGCAAGACCGGATAGAAGGGAAATGGAAAGGGTTTTAATACAAACAAGTGCAATCATCGCAAATTGTCGTGATTCTTTTGAAATGAGCCGAGATTTACCGGGGCTCTACCAGGATCAACCGTAGCTCCATCGTCATCCTACGGGGCTCTGTCTGCATCCTCCTGGGCTCTGCAGGCATTCACCGGGGCTCTGCCGTAGCTCTACCGGCTCTATCATACCTCGGATCATCCCCGGTTTGTGCCGGCAGAGCTACGGTAATTCCCCGGTTCAACCCCGGTCGTTCTCGGCAGAGCTAAGGATGAAGCCGACAAAACTATACTTCCTGGATCACCCCGGTGTATGTTAAATATTTTATTCCATCCGGGTCGAATGCCGGATGTTCCTTATCATCCCGGACGTTTCCGGCAGAGTTACGGATGTACTCCGGTTGTTCCCTGATACCCGGACGTCTACCGGGGCTCTGCAGGGATGTAAACGAGGCTGTAGCTTAACACAAAAGTAACGCCGAATCGTGCAACCATTTGGCCAAAACGAGAAACATGGCAAGTAAACCTGCCAAAATATTTTACCCTTAATCAAGTTTATAAAATAAACGAATAAACGCTTACGTTTCTATGACATTATACTTTAACCAGCATTTCTATTTTTTCTAGGAATATATGTTTACTTTTAATGTATTCGTGAGAACTACGACTGACTACCGTTTTGAAGTCGAAATTCATAAGTTCATTAACGCATTTAAAACTTTAATTTCTTCATTATCTGTATACCATATAGACATTTGACAAACTTCTAGTGTCGTATAATACTACACGGAATCAGGTAAAATAATATTCTGCTTTTTATGAGGTAACCATAGTTGCTTCGTTGCATGTTTCACGAATTCGGCGTAACTTCATAAAAAAGGTCTCCTTCCCATTTTAATTTACTGATTTAAGTTTAAAATAGTAAGTAGTTTGGCAAATGTCTCAGGTACATCGAATATCAAAAATCATAATGTAATATATATGTTATTTTTTTTTAAATATATATCGACGAAGCACAAAAATCGCCATTAATACGCTTGTCATACGTGTGTTGAAGTTCCGTTTTGCAACGTGTCAATTATTTTCATTGTTCACAATATTTTTTACCTAAAAATATTTTACTTAAAATGCAGTTTCAAAATGTTCATGAAAATTAGCAGGAATCCAGGGGATTGCGGTTTTTAACTTAAATTCAACTTTGTGCTACGAACGGTAAATCATCTGTTTTGATGTAAACTATGACACGATCTATTGTCTCCCTTAGTTTCAAAGATATCATATATAAGCACAAAGCTGAGGAACATAAATGAATTGTATCTCATTTGGATGTTGTGACCCTTAAACCGACAATTTATAAATAGGATGCGGGTTTGACGGAAGGTATTAATTCTGGTATTAAAAGGAATGTTAATTTATAAGCGATAGATCTTTAGCCGGGTTGTACAGATGAATGTCGGGCGGGCGGGTAAAACAATTTCGTAACAGTTTTCTCAGCAACTACTAATCACAGCCTTTAGATATTCGGTATACAGCCACAAACCATGGTCCCATGTTCGATTTCAGGTCAGTGGCTCATCCACTTCCTGTTTGCCGACTAAGTTAAATTTTCGACATAAATGGTCAATGGTAGGAAATTTTCCAAGCCTCGTGATATTTGGTATACAAACGCAACCTGGCCATTTCTGTCTTTGACCCATTTTTATAGTGTATTATTTCCCCCTTTTTCTATTTTACCATCTAACTAAATTTTCTCAAAATCAAGTTAAACAGTTAATTATCCCAAAATGCAATGATCTTTAATTATGTCAAATTCAAACAAGAAACCATAGATTACCAGTTGAAACTGGAAATTGGTCAAATATACCTGTCAATGAAAGAATGTGCATTTTTTGTAGAAATATAATCGGTGATGAGTTTCATTATCTTTTCGAATGTAATAGATTTTCTAATGAAAGAAGACAATTTATAAAAACCATATTTTTATAGACGTCCTAATATGTATAAATTAGAACAACTTTTTACAATGAAAGATTCGCCTGCATTTTATAAACTATGCAAATTCTTAATGATTATTATAAGAAATGTAAGAATGTAATCAAATATTTATGTTATCATTTTAAAGTCAGTTGTTATTTTGTAATGTTCTGAGATATAGTTTTGTTTTAATGATATTCACTTACCACTTTCTTTACTATACAGCAAAGGTCCTTTATACCTCACATATACTTTTTATTTTCATTTCTCATAAGACTAAGTTTTTGCTGTACTTTTGTAGTATTAAACGATTTAATCACTGGTTTATTTCATGAATCATCTTTTTCATTTCAAATTTGCTTTTAGAAATAAATACAAGTATAGTAAATAACCATTTTGTATGGAAGTTGAAATATTACTTTATTTATTTTACAACTTTTATGACAAATTATATCACATTTATAGCTACATTCTCCTAGTAATAAATATCTTACATTCTGTTCAAGCACTATTTAAATGTTGTAAAATTCAGGTTTGCATTTTCTTAAGAAGTTAAAAAAAATTGTTTCCTAAGCAAAAAATATGCATATAATTTAATGATATGTAATAAATATGTTGATATTGGTTAAGTAATTATATATGATCTCAATTTGTATAAATGCCTCGTTAAATATTTTGACATTATCCTCATATTACATGTTGTATGCATGTTTGAGTGAATAAAAGATGTGTTGCTGTTGTTGTTGTATATTCAGCATTCTGTCAAATTTATAATTAAAGAAATAAGATAAGATAGTATTCGCCACTCCGGCACACAAGCCGTGACCGATTTACCATTTAGGGGGACAATAGACAGTTTTAAAGGGTTACCGCGTCACAATCAAAACCTAATACAGAAGTCCTTACACACACGAAATTTCATTATTAACAGATACATATATAACTTGCAGCAACAATTAATATACGCTCCCATCACAGCTAACTTCAGACGTGAGCGATAGTGAAACATCCGACCGATGCGCAGGAGAGTACAATTATAACACATATCCAACTTCTACTTTTCTGGCACATGGTCATGTGCTTTCCATTTTTCCATTGCGGAATTAATGACAAAATATACATGTATAATGTATGCAGTCATTAATCAAACTTACAGACGTTTTGACTAAATCTAAATTGTGTCTTAGTTTTCACTTTATCAAACCAGATTATCTTACTGATCATATACGTATTTAATCAAACACAGCTGGATATACCTTAATGATAAATACAGATTCATATTGATATAAACTGATATACCAGTTATCAAGCTTTCTTGTAAAGTGGTATTCATATTTTATAACAAACTACAACTACATTACACTTTATAGTGAACATTGCCGCCTAAACTTTTTTAATCGATCACAAAAGCACTTATAATAATATTAATAAATAATAATTAATAATATTAATAATACCAAACATAAGGTCTGACATATAATATTATTTAAAGTCTAAAATTTACTTAAGATATTAAAACAGAAAAGATTCATTAAATGGCGACCATTTTGCGCCCTATATGAAACAAATACTTTTATTTTTCTTTCGTAA